TAATTATAATAGACTCAACACTAAAAATTGCATTTTTAAAGATGTTAAAGATGTTAGCAAAATATAAAGTAGAAAAAAAAAATCGCTTCAAAATCGCTACAAAGCTAGCTAGTCGCTCGCTAGTCGCAAGCTCATTTCCCACCGAGGAGGGTTAGGGTTTTCCACCGTCGAATGTTTAGAAGACGTTTAAAAGACATTTAAAGTACATTTAAAACGTAACTTTTAAAAACAAATTTTTCTACAGCTGGAAATTCTCTTAAAGTCACATTGTGCACACCAGAAAATTAAACGGAAAAAATTTCTATTTATCATCTGTTTCTCAATATAATAGAACAAATAGCAATAGTGCTTGAGCTGGCAAAAAAGAAAAGAAAAAAAAACAACATATTTTCAATATATATATATATATATATATAATATTATATATATGTATATATATGTGTATAGATTTCGATATATAGAATATATTCGAGGTTAAGTATTTTGATGTAATAATACGAAGTCTCTTGTACGTGTTACAGTGCTCAATATTACTGAATAATAGAGCTATATATAATTATATTTAGATGAATAAAAACAACTGATTAGCGGGACTTAAAGTTTCATGCCCGAAGGGAATCATCAGCCGTTAAAGATTAACAGCTGATGATTGGCTTCGGGCATGAAACTTTAAGTCCCGCTAATCAGTTGTTTTTATTCATCTAAATATAATTATATATTCATATATATATATATATATATATATATATATATATATATATATATATATATATATATATATATATATATATATATATATATATATATATATATATATTTTATATATATATATATATATATATATATATATATATATATATATATATATATGTATATATGTATATATATATGTTTATGAACATGTGTATATGACTTGTATATGTTTATGAGACTTTGTATATTTTAAAATACATCAGATTTTGTGCGTTAATAATTAAAATTAGAATTACGTAGATTTGACCAGACATTAGCCCTTAAAAAGATTTCATTGTAAAGTGGAGATTTATTTTAAAAGTATACAACAATGTCTTTGGTTGTTAAAAAGAAAGTAGTTTCAGTGGCGGATAAAGACTTCTTGGGGCCCAGGGCTATTTTTAATTTTGGAGACCTTTTTATGGCCAGAGCCTAAAAATCGTCAAAAATTTAGGGGGGCTCTAACTTTGCGGGGCCTGGGGCTATAGCTCCCCTAGCCCCCCTGCTTGATTCGGCACTGAGTAGTTTAAATTAATTCTTGAATAATAGTGTACATTGGTCCAAATGTATAGTTATTGTTATAGATACTCTCAAATCTAGGTATTATTTGAGACAAATTATAGTAAATTTTAATTTGCAAGATGTCACTTATGTCTCTTTTGATTTAAAATTTATTAACGCGTTGTTTGTTTTTTCTCTGCGTTCTTGAAAAATAGTTAGTTTATGGTGTTAAATAACTGAATTAGGTTTAAGGAGCAAAAATGTTTGGCACTATTAATTGCTGGTACATTATACTTTAACTGAGCAATTGGTTCCTTTACCTGAACTTCATTTGTTAGTTGGTTGTATTTCTCTGCAGGGAAGTTTCTGGTAGACATCTGGCCAGAATTCTAGGCTAGATTTTTTCAATTATTTATTAATTCAGATGACTCAAAAAGACCTGACGGTCTTATTACAAAGCACCCTTTCACCAAAGCTAGGATGTTTACACTTAATATTACTGAAAAAAACTACTTTAAAAAATATTATTGAATGAAGCTTATTAAAAAAGCAACTTTATTACTTACCTCTTTATAAGAACGTGATCGTTGGTGTAATAATAAAAAACAAACAAACAATGTAAACAATAAACTTTACAAAACTGAATACTAAACTGAAAAACATATAAATGTGAAAGCAGCCAATGTTAAATGGTTAGAATTTTGGCATCAGAACTAGAGGTCTGTGGTTCAAAGCCGGTACACATATGCAACATTGGTAAAGAAGAAGACGTGAACTTTATGATTAAATGCTACTACGTAATGTTCTGCCATAAGACCATAAGGATGTCTTCTTCGAGCACCTAATATATATATACATAAATATATATATATATATAATATATATATATATATATATATATATATATATATATATATATATATATATATATATATATATATATATATATATATATATATATATATATATATATATATATATGTAAAATAAAAAGTTATCTTACATTAATTTAAATTAGTTACAGATTAAGATATTCTTAGAAAATAAAGAAAGACAGTATAAAAAAGAAGCGGAAAACTCGCAAAAGACCGTGATGTCTTGTCACCGAGAAACCGTTCAAGCTGACTGAAATGATTTTGCTCATTTGATATAGAGCTTTAATGTTTCTTGTTATTTTTTATTTTTTTTAAATTTATCTCTTATTATATATATATATATATATATATATATATATATATATATATATATATATATATATATATATATA